AATTAAATATTTATATGTAAAAATACCCGCCCCGCTTAATAATATAATTAAAAAATTATTTTTATATATATAAACCAAAATTATAAATATTTATATGTAAAAATTTATATTATTTTATTTTTCTTTTATTTTTTTTAAATTGTTCATATTTATTTAAAAGAAAAAAAGAAGAAAAAAAATAAAAGCGGGGGCGGGGCAGGAAAACCCGAACCCGGCCAGGGGTGGGGATGGAGACCTAGATTTTATCCCCGACGAGTATCGAGGGCGGTTTAAATTTGCGGGGACGGGGCGGGGAACGTAAAACCCGCCCCCGCCCCGTTGCCATGCCTAGTCGCGTGTTAATAATAAAAGCAAGGGTTTGCTTCAGATCAAAAATCACGTTTGTCCGTTTGGGAACAAAATATATTTTGAGCCCATGTTGCAAATGAAAAACATAACATATGCAAAGCCAACAAAGGATTGAGCATCTACATCACTTCAGCTAATAAAAAATTCACAACCAAACACGAACCAATAGTAACAAATAAACTAGCACAGGTGGCAAAATCCATTCAATAACCAGGTACCTTCTGAAGTTCCAAACACAAGTTTAATAAAACAGTAAAATACAAGATTAATCATGCAAATAAAATATCAATACAGAAGTTTCAAAACAACTCTATTAAAATAGGGGCCAAAAATAGGAAGAAAAGTAAACTCAGCGCTTGCCCCCTCCGCCACCGAGTTTGGGACCTTTGGGCATAGCACCCTTCGAGATACCTGTCGATTTTGCTTTTTGCGACTTAGCTACTTCTGCTTTCTTAGCCTTCTTCTCGTCCTTTGTTTTTTTGATCCTCTCTTTAATTTCACTGCACCACATCATAGATTCAGATATAATCCATATTAGAAAGCAAAAGAGCAGTCAATAATAAGGCTCTGACATGATTAAAGACAAAGTAGAAAACCATGTCAGAAATGAAGGAAATTCAAAATAAAAATGAATTCAGTTCCTCTTAACTGAGAGATACACTTTGAGGATGAAGTAGAATTACAACAGTTGATTGGAAAATAAATGGTCGAGTTCTAACAACTATCTTTGTTATAGATATGTACATATTTATATTTTAATCACACTCTCCACCATTAATTTTCTAATCGACAGTTATAACAGTACTTCATTCTTCTCTAAAGTGCACGGCCTTTTAAAAAAAAGCCAAATCCAAGAAAGCAAATCCAAAAACTAGCCAGAAACAATAAAAAAACAAAAACACACCGAAGAGCAGCTTCTCTAGCTGCGTCACGAACTTCAGGCTTCTCAGTTCTCTTTTTCTGGATAACTTCCAAAGTGGCACCAACAATGGACCTAGAGTAAGGCTTCTTGGTAGCACGTCTCCTTTTTTTCACGGCTTCTTGAGCAATGTCCTACTCATCACATGCAAACAAAAATCAATTAAAATATGCATGCAACCATTGCAGAATTACTCATCACAATCACCTGTTTAATGTGGAATAACTAAAAGCACAAAGCATAATCAGATGGTCAAATTTAGCACCCGTAGAAGGGCCAGCAACATTTTCACTTCCCAACCACATTCATCAATGCCTATGGCAATTCTGATTTAACATGTTCTGGATGTCTACATCAGCTTATTGTTTAATCTCAAGAAATATTTCAAATAAATAATCACCTTTTTGTGTTGCTTCCGGTACATTGCTGTCCAGGTAAGCTTTGATGGCTTCAAACGGTTGTGGAAATACCTCTTACATTTTGAGTTTGCAAACAGGAAGACCTGCAGATTCAACGAACACAACCCCTCATATCAGTTTCATAACTAATAACAGAACAAACATACTGAAATAAAGTCATACACCAACCAAAAATTCAATGAGACATATTTTGTTACCTGAGAATCACCACGAACAAACCTGATGCCTCTTCCAGGGTAGATCTTAGCACCACTGAATCGGCATAGTTCAGTTCTGATACATAAATATCATACATTAATATACATACGTGGCCTATAAGAAAAATGATCATTCATTCGACCAAACATAATTCTAAAAGCACTGCTTTGTTTAGGAATAATTATTTTCAAAAAACATCAAGAGTTGTGTGTCTTTAAATGCTACATATGTCTCTATAAGTTTCTAAAAGTCGAAAATGTGCAAGTCTATTGAGAAGCAGCTCCGAAACCGGTCAATATTTCAGAGACTCGGTTAGAGAACTGAAATCAAGTCATTAAGCAACAACAAATAAATTGGTAAATCTTGTAAAAATAACTTTTCTACGCATCGGAAAAATGTTAAACTCAACGTCAATTTAGATATCATTATCCAATATTGAATACAGAACGCATTTAAACGCTCCAGAACCCTAGTACAATCACACAATAATCTTAATTTTAAAAAATAGAAAATGAAAACAACATAGCCATACACAACTTCACAAAATCAAGATAGAATGAAAGGCGAGACTATCTTGAACAAACAATAAAAGTCAAATCGAATTTTGAGTTCATACGAGTTTATGCATCACAGAACTATCAGAAGAATTTACAAATAAGACCCCACGAATGAAGTCGATGAAAGAAGAAGGTGTCATGACTACTTACTTGAGAACCATGGTTGCTGCGGAAGGTGTGGCTGCTCAATGTAAACCCTAAAAACCCAACTCTCACTCATCCCCACTATCTATACCCCGAATATAAAACCACATATTTTCATTGATGGGCCTGGGCCCAAAGACTTCTCATGTAGATTCCTTCTCAAGTCTAGTGCAAACAGCGTATTCCGTAAAAATGCTTTACTATTTGGGCTCCGGGAATGAGCCCATATAAAATAAACAAAATTACCAACCCTGTGGAAAATCATTTTTTTTCTTGATAAATCATTTATAAAAAGAATTTAATTTATATATACTATCGCTAATTCCCTATAAAAATTTTCTATATATACATTTGATAAAGCCTAGTTATTTTATTATATTGATCTATTTATTTATATGATGCGATAATGTGATGGATTTTTTTTATTAAATGTCTATATAAAAATATTTTACGCTCATATTACATATAAATTAATTTTTTAAAAAATTAAACACTTGAGTAAATAATGGGAATTCTGTTACATTTTATCGATAGACACTTCCGATTTCTTTGTGAAACAAGTCTTTTACCTTTCTTGTTTTAATGATGGTAAAGGAGTGAAAAGGAAAAGGAAAAAAAAAATGCCGAATATTATAAGTATTCCACGAACAATAACATGTGTATAGGTATGGAAATCCAAAGTTATTTCAACAACTTCTTTCACATACAAAACAGACAAATATTTTTCAAAGTAATGGAAACCAAACATACACTTTCAGCCAACGATAAAAATATTATTTTACAGGATTCAAATAAACCCTTGATAACATAATTGTAAAAAATCACCCTAAAAAAATGTTTACAGCAGCGGGATTCATAAGATTTTCCTAAACGCGCTTGCTATCTTATTTTGAAGAAGGAAAATGAGATAAAGAGATCTGACCATATCTTTGAGATTAATAGCGTGTTTGTATGCACGTTGGAAACGTGGAAAACCACGTTTAACGTTAAACGTGGTTTTCCACGTTTCCAACGTGCATACAAACACGCTATTAATCTCAAAGATATGGTCAGATCTCTTTATCTCATTTTCCTTCTTCAAAATAAGATAGCAAGCGCGTTTAGGAAAATCTTATGAATCCCGCTGCTGTAAACATTTTTTTAGGGTGATTTTTTACAATTATGTTATCAAGGGTTTATTTGAATCCTGTAAAATAATATTTTTATCGTTGGCTGAAATGAGAAATAAAGCAAGTTTGTGAAGGAAAATAACTCTCTTCTTGAGAATAAAATCTCAAGTGTTAATTACAAGTTAATGATTGGTACGTTCAATAGAACATATAATATGACAATCAAATTCGTAACGCAAGTTTATGGTAATATTTAAGTTAATTATAATGCCATATAAACCATGAATTCTTCAGGTTAGGTTGTAATTGTTTTATAAGCTTAATTATTTTGGGTTGTTGAGCTTGTGCCTAGATTAACCTGTAATTAACACTTGAGATTTTGTTCTTTATTTGGTTTAAAAGCTTGATAGAAAGAGTGCTGGACTTTATTTAAGTTTATTACATTAATAAAAACAATTATTTAGTATGTGAATAGATGAATGGGCTGGTATAGTAGTACGTAGTCCTTTAACCATTGAACATTTGAACTCACCAAAGAATAATTTCCGGAGCATAAATATGTTCAACTTCTGAATATCCACACATAAAGTGAATATCACTCCAATATTTTGCCTAGCACAGAGCAATAATATAAAGACCAAATGATAAACTGCAATGAGAAGTGTGTTAACCAATAGCTAACACTCAAACCACAAACAGATTTTCTCAAAGGGTAGGGCAATCAATCCTTGTTTATTTATTTATTACATGGAGGAAAGGATCTTCCTGGAGGTCAACTAAACATTGACCAACATTCCTCAACGCTGTTGTCCTACCCTGAATATACAAGCTTTTTTCACATCGACTCAACAGAAATTTGAAGAAAAAAAAATATAAATATATATATCAAACAAATGTTGCACTTCAATGAGAAAAGCGTTATCCAGTAGCAAACACTTAACTAGAAACATGTTTCACAAATGGGAGAGCAAGCTAGCCTTAATTATTTGTTACTTGAAGAGGAAGGATCTCCTTGGGTTGGTCAACTAGACATTAACCAACATTCATTAATTAATATTGCTATTGTTCTACCCTGGATTTGCAAGCTTTTTTCACACTGACTCCAGAATATGTTGCCTTTGTTTGCCACCTACTGCACACTACATAAATCATTGACTGCTACAGAAGTCTAAAAATCCCATGAACTCGTGGTCTTTGATCATTTCAATGCTCTCGACAATGCCAACGACACCTGAAAGGAAAAAAAGGGTAACATTTACTACATGTATTGTGTATATAAATCAGAAATTGACTTTGATTTAGTTTACCCATGGTGAGAGCGCTAGCAAAAATGACCGCTGAGAGGATGAATACAATGATTGAGGCCCTTTTAAGAATTGCCATCAATTTCCTCACAAAATATTGTCCCCAAAAGCCAGCCAAAACAGACACTGCGGTGAGGTATAACGCTGCAAAAGAGATATGGCAACAACAATAGGATCTAGTTCATATGATACAGCTAGCATATCAGATCAATATAGTTTTGAGCATGTAGGTATTTTAAAATTTGTTCATGCTCCGAATCCGGTGAAAATATAGCATGTAGCCATAGTGAAAAGGAAGGCAAGTTGGTCGATATTATATACAAACATGATATATGGTGGAGTGTGGACCATGACCTGTTTCCACATGGTCCTGTCTCTTTCACTCTTAAAGGCAGGGAATGAGAATTTAAAGGCAACAAAAATTACAAAGATATATAAGCTAGGAAAGATGATGATAGTTACCGTAAGGAATGGGGAACCTCTTGAGAAGGTAGAATTCCACCACAGACAAAGATGATGAAAACATCATCACAAATGTTGCTGTTGCACTAGCAACCTGCAATTTCAAACAAAAACACGTACGTCCTTGGAAGTTAAGTTGCTTGAACATTAATGTGAAATCAAATTGTGTCTAGCATATAGAAATTATTAGGTGATATGACTATCATGATCCTAACTAATCTACATATGATATATAATTAAGTGTTATTAATTTTTTTCATAAATTGAAAAATTTAATTAATTGTAACATAAATATTTGTCATGCATATATTATGTAGCCTACCTGGGGGATGACGCCAATTTCGATGAGAAGAGGGCCCAAAATGAAGCCACCTCCCGAACCAAGTAGGCCTCCAACAGTTCCCCCTAAGATGCCACATAGTGCACAAAACAAAATGTGCAAAGGAGTCCATTCAATTGATGCCTCACAGATGGATTCCGGGTTCCCTGTGCTCATTCTCTCTTTGTGATCCTTGTACAACTTCACTGCTTCGTAGCCAAACACAATGAGTGCAATAGGAAACTGAAAAGATATCAACGAAGAAAGGTGCATGTCAATAATTCTGATTTGACACCACTGCACAATAAGTTAAGTAACAAATTGTGCTCCTGTAATATAATTGGTGTTACCATCTTAATTACCTGTAAGAAAAAAAGCACCCAATACCATACACCGCAGACCTGTACATCATTCTGCAGATCAACAAGTAAAATTAAAATAAAGAAACAAAAAGTGAACAGACTTGTGACATGAGTGGGAGAGAGAGAGAGGCTAGCCTTGATCATTTGAAGTGATAGGAAAGAAACCCACACGGCCATGAGTATCAAAATCCTTTTCCACTTGAGGTTGAAACAAAGAATTTGCTTGAGGGTTTGAGGGAGAAAACAAAAAGACAAAAAGTCAGGTTTCTAATCATCATCTGCTAGAACTCAATGAAAATTAGGACAAGTTAGCATACCAAAGATGACTTCTCTTCTTTAGGAATCAACGACTCATATTCTGTGCCAATTAGAACTGCATATTTCAGGAAATATAGTCACTATCACACCCAACACCATCAAATCATTTTGAGAAAATACAAACACAGAGGGCATGCTTTACAGAAGAGAATCTATTCTTAAAATTTCCAAATGTTTTTAATTTTTATTTCATATTTTTTATGGTTGAATTAAAGTACACCTTAAAGTAAAAAAAATTGGCTCCTATTTAATCCCAAATAAAGTGGAAAAGTATAATTTTTCTTACGTTCTCCACGAGAATTAACAAAAGCATCTTGTTGTCTGGCCATTTCTTTCTGCAATTAGCAAACACAAAAGTTACTATGGAAAAATTTTGCTCATGAGTTTCTTCTTCTGATAAATGATTCTGTTGAGGACTTATAATATTCATATGGTAAAACTTACCTTGAGAAGAGTCTCTTCCTTCCACATCTGAGTTCCCTTAAAGAAAGACCTTGAAGAGGTACCTAGCAAAAAGTAAAAGAACTTATTCCCCCATTTTTGAGCAGAGTCCAACTAAAGTGATTCATCCAAAGCACGGTTTGTTTTGCAGGTAAACTTTTTTCAGGGAATAGAGACAAGAGAGAGACCTATGAAGAGAATAATAATGAGAACAGTGATGAGCCAGTAGGGGAAGACAACACTAAGAGAGACACCAACAGTTATACCAAGCATGAGCATGGGCTGGAAAAGAAGGGCGAGATCATAGTCTAGTATTGGCACCTCTTTGGTTGGATGAGGCACTCTTAGGTTATACCAAACGGAAGCTGTTGAAGCCCCCATTATCATACCTGAAATTAAGTACAAGTGAAACTTAAGAAGAATTAACGCCAAACTTAATGATGACAAGTTGAAGGAAAGGAGATTTACATTTAGAAAGAGCAGCAGCAGACTTGGTATCAAAACGAACAATGAGAGTAAGCATGGGGACGAAAATGCCTCCCCCGCCAACCCCTCCAACGGTGCCAAAAGCAGATCCCAGAAACCCAATAACTGTGGCCAACGCAACTCTCCAACCCACCTTCAATTCCTGCACCGCAAGCGCAACAAACCAAGCATTAGTGTGTGTTTTTTGGACGTGCGGTATCGACGATGATAACGTGACAGAGAGAGGTGTGACGTACGGGCCAATTCTTATCGGTTGCGGATCCATAATTAGGAGAGGAGGGTGGTGACGTGGACACATAATGTTTGTAGTCGTTGGTTCTGGTGAGGAACAGCGCAGAGAGAAGCGCGAGGGAGAAAGAGGCTAGGAGATAGATGATGAAGCCTCTGGTGGACATGCCTGGCGCCGGCGCCCAATTCTTTTTCAATACCTCAAATTTATGTATAAACCTTCAAGGGATAGGATACCCATCTTATGCTTATGCCATGCGTCCTACGTTGTCGATTAACAACAACATTTCACTACGGACACATACTATTATTATGCATACATGTACCTGAGCCAAAACAATACAACAATTGTGTATCCAGCAATTGTAGGTGTAGTGATCTATTAATGTTTTTCTATTGTTGTTGTTTATATAATATTATTTAAATTGGTTATAATCAATATTTTTATATACATGTTGCATTTTTATTTTTATTAACATTAAGCTTGATAACACATAAATTTAACAAAATAATTAAATAAAACATTTATATTTAAAATTAATAAAAATAGAAAATCACATTGAACAACTCGAGTTCTCAGTGTTAAAAAAATAATAATAATAACAAAGCCGGGTAGGGGATAATTTGTTTTGGGAAAATAATATGGGAGGAGATAATTTGGGATATAATGATTTCTATAAGATTTTAAATTAAGCAAATAGATGGTAGTTATGAAATTTGTTTAAACTTGTTAGAAACACTCCTGAAAAAAAATGAAATAATTGTTTTATAAATTAAAATTAACTTATATAAATTTGTAAGAGTTCTTTTGTATTAATTTTTAAAAAAATTATACTTAATTTTTGCATAAGTTACTTTTAATTTAATAAAAAAATTATTTTCTTTTTAATACAAATTAATTTTTAACAATTTTTTTATTTTTCATTTAAAAGTAATCTTAAATAAATTTATTTAAACATTTCATAAATAAAAATCTTAATTATTATAAAAATGTAGAATATTATATACGAATAACCCCAAGCGTGTGGTTCAGCGGTAGGGGTTGATTCACCCTTAAGCAAGGTTAGGGGTTCGAATCCTGCCTTGTGTATGTATGCCCCCGCGTTAAATCTTGGAGCCAGCTATCTCACCCTTTGAGGTGCCTCCAACCTAGCGAGGAGATTAGTCACTGCTGTCGGCCCTGGATACTCCAGGAACGATAAAAAAAAAAATATTATATACGAATAGTATCAATTAATACTGCCTGACAAACTTTATAGAAAAACTATTACTGTTTTTTATTTTATTTTCTTCTTCTATGTTTGTTTTTATTTTAAAGAAAAACGACAAGACTAGGGACAAATATTTTTCCATTTTTTTTTTCAAATCACTCCTAATGATTAATGAGTAAATAATATATAAAAGTATGATATAAAAATGTCAGTAATATTATATATATATATATATATATATGTCTTAAATGCATTATTAATTTGTTAATATTATAATTGTATAATTTTATTTTAGTTTCACAAAATTTAATTAATCAAGTTTATTTTATTAAGCATGGTAATTATGACATTTTTGTCATCAAATTTTAATTAAATTAGACTTACAAATATTGTAATTATACCATTTTAACCCCTTTCATTAAAAATTTAATAGTTTTTTTTAAAAGGAAATATAATTAGTATATTTCAAATTAAATTTCTCCTATTATATATATACATATATTCCAATATATTTATATTTGTGTAAAATTATATTAATATATACTAATTTATATTTGTGAAATTATTAAGTTATGTAGAAATATACTAATAAGATTATTGATATTAGTTTATCAGTAATATTATAATATTAATAATATAATTTTTTTATTAATTTAATAATAATAAATATATATCATTTATTATATTTTTTATGGGAGAGATTAAAATTAAATAATTGAGATATTTAGAAGACTAAAATCATTCAAATAAAAATTGAGGGATAAAAAATTACATAATTACAATATTTAAAAGATAAAAATATAATTAAATATATAAATTTTAAATCGAGGAAACATGCTTCTTATATAAAGTTTGGGAAAATCATCAGCCTCAATTGAATATATAAACTTATTTCATTAGTTTTTATAATTATAATTTTATTTCATAAATATTTACTTATGTACTTCTAATAACTACTCATTATTATATATAATTTTTATTATTTATTATTTTTAAAAATAATTCATGAAGACACACAGTGTCTTTTGTATGTTATTATGTAATAAAAGCAATAATTTTGGTATCATGTGTATTAGGTAAATAACCGAGAAGAATATATTTTTAGTAAGCATTTTTAATTAAAATAAAATCTACATATTAAAATAGTTTTATATTTTTATATCATAAACATTTTTAATAAGTTTTATCGTCGAAATTATAGATTTGACCATACCAAAAAAAAATGCATTTGATTGAGAGATAGATCGTAAATATATGTTACAAAAATCGTACTGTAGCATAGTTATTTTTCGTTTACACGTAATTTTTTTTTCATACGTATTGAATGTTGACAAACTTTAAAACTCGGTATTCAGAACATTACAACGATACTTCGTGTGACTATTATAACTGTAATGTTGAATTATTTTTTTATTCCTTATAATTTTTAAAATTTTACCTTTTAATTTCTATAATTAAAAATATTTTATTTTAGTCTTTATACATATAATTTTTTGTTTTCTTTTAGTTTCTATGATTACATAGACTTATTTTTGGCCACTGTAAAAATGGGATATATATATATAAGCTAAATTAAAAAATTAAAAAGACAAATTAAAAAAAATCATGTTTCTCCGTCGCACTTCTCTCGTGCGCTGTTCTTCATTGGTTGATGCGGTGAAAAAAGACAAATTCTTGGTTAGTTGGGGGTGCAGAAATTAGAGATAAATTGGTATAATCGAATAATAGATTAGAGTTGTTAATACGGGCTAAAATTCTCAGCTCACTCCTTTTTAACTCTCAACTTAACTCATTAAATTTACAATTCTCTTCTATGAAGTTATTTTCATGTATTTAATTTTTTAGAGGGTTAGAACTGGAATTTTAATAAGTGAGTTCATTCTATATATTTTTTTCTTAAGCAAACTCACCATTTGCAGAGTTTGGTGAACCGGACATTCAATGCCAGCTTTTGCCTTGTTTGGTGAACCAGCCTATCACATGCCAACCATTTACACCGTTTGATGTCTAAAACGTGTTCAGGATTTTACAATAAAGTGTAATTATTCTCTCTATTATAATTTTACAAACTTTAATTTGTTAATTTTGTAATTATAAATATTCCACTTTAATTTCGATACATACTTATTTTTATTTTTATTTTTTTTATAATTTAAAAAATACTGCTTCTTGGCGATAGTTGTTAAAATGATAAAAAATAATAAATATGAAAACTAAAATGAAACATTTTTTTTAATGATATGAACTAAAAATGTATAATTTATAAAATTACATAAACTAAAAAATAGTTAAAATAAACTCAATACCAAGAAATTGCACTATAATTCATGCATATTATTTAATCAACAAACAAGTTAAACTCCACCTAAGATATATATAAATATTTTTTCAATCTCTAGTACGTAATAATATTATAAATATTTTTCTTATATATGTTTTAAGAGAATAGATTCAATTACTTTAAAGTAGGTCTCAGAATTACTTTTTTCAATAATTTATAATATACATTAAATTTCAATAATTTATTTATTAAATTAAAAATACTTAATAAATAAGTTATACTTCATAATATTAAATTTGAATGATTGATTTGTTATTTTAAAAAAAATCTTAAGAAATAGTTAAGTCTATAATTTTTCTTTTAAAAACTTAACTTTGAAAATTATTTGATACGTATATTGATAATAGTATATTATACTTCGAATTTATTGTCTAGACTTATGTGGGAAAATGTCAGTTAAAAACTTGAACAATAGTAACTCTCATTATTGTTGTTCAAAATCAATTGAGCACGTGAGAGCTTGAGATCTGACCTACATATTCAAGAAAAATTATTGGTGGCTGAAAGTACGTCCAAACCAAAACATTCCTTCTTCCTCATTTATTTCATCTTATGCAATAATATATCGACAATATAGGCAGAAATATGAATGAACATACACTTAGTGGAATTATACGACCTGATCACTTCTATAAGTGGTGTCAACTTTTATACTTTGTTTGGTGGAGAGGAATCGAAAAAAAATGATAAAATAAAATAAGTAAAAATTGATTTTAAAAAAAATGTATAAATACTCTATATATAAAATAGAGTAAAACTTATAATTATTTAGTCAAGTGAAATTAAGAAAAAAAATATATAGTATTTTAAAATTATATTTTATATAATTAAATTTAATATAAAAATAAATTATTTAGATAATTATATTTTTACCTTTTATTTACTTTTTTTCAAATAAAAATTGAATAAAATAGTCATAAGATTTATGTGTAAAAAAATTCACACAAATTTACTCATTAAAAAAATCAAATTAAATTCACATAACCCCAATATACTCTCAAATCCACTAAAATCATCTCCTAACACATAATTTTTTTTTAATTACTTCATAATTCCTCCCTATTTTCTCCATTCCCTGCTACTAAATCACCTGTAGACATGACCTGACTTTTAAGTGGAGTTACATGATGTTGGCTGAAATATTTATCAACCTTACGAAAACCTAACTAACTAGGTTTAGTGTCTCATTATCTCAATTGCTTGTTTTTTTTTTTCAAGACCCAAATGTTACTAAAGTGACTAAAACTCGCACTAATTCAAACCTTTCTTTTATTTATCCAGAGAACTCAGTTAAAACCTTATTAAAGTGTCTAATTAAGACTCGGCCTAGCTCAATCTGATCCACAATGATAGAGGTAAAGATGGCTTGAAACAAACCAGTTGAACAAAATTCTAAAAATCTAGTTCACGTTGTATCTAGTGAAATTTTAAACATTAACGCGTTGTTTTTATCACTTGCGCCGCGTATTCTTTTCCCTTCCGTTGGACACAGGTAAAGCTTCATACCGATAGGAGTTCGGAGGAAAAAGAGAGAGGGAGGGATGGATAACCAGAACAGGTTTTCATTATTCCGAAAAAGAAAAAGAAAATGCAGATTCTAGAAAACATAGATGATGTTACAAAGAAAAGAGATGGTGTAAAATGAAAGGTACAGGGGCCCCGTTAAAAGAGGTGGCCACACATTTATTATATAGAAAAAATTGCATTGGATCACATTTTCTGGCGACGACGCTCCACATGAATGACCCCTTCCTCCTCGACATGGCCGCCAATGGCCCTATCCGCCGCTTTGAGCGCATCCGCCACGGCTCCCGGGCGAGACTCCTCCATTTTTATGACCAACTTGTCTCCTCCCCGCCCCACCGCATCTTGCACCCTCACTTCCTCCCTTCCACTCACCACCTTATCCTGCACCACATGCAAAGTAACTAATTAAACAAAAATTAATTATTAATAATTAAAGCAGAAATTAAAGTGTGGAAATTAATTAACATGTGCATGTGGCTCGTCTTTCTTGGCGGTGAAGAAACCCATGGCCCTGTCCTTGAGCTCCCCAAGCTTCCCCGTGGCAGCGTCCTTCCCTTCCTTAGCCTTATCTCCAGCATACTCCGTCGTTTCCTTCGCTTTCTGCGAAGCATAATCTGCATACTCCCCGGCCTTCTGCTTCGTCGCATCCTTCGTCTCCCTCGCCTTCTGCCCCGCGTAATCCGCATATTCTCCCACCTTCGACCCCGCCGCGTCTTTAGTTTCCTTCGCCTTCTCATAAACCCCGGGCGAGTAGCGCTCCTTCTCCGTCTCCTGAGGCTTCCCAACCACGGCTTCTTTGGCGTGCTCGTACGTGCCCTGCACCGCTCTAAACATGGACCCTATCACACCGGGTTTGTTCTCGTCGTGGGGCTCTCTACACGCGCTTTCTTTTGCTCTGTTCACGTCCTCGAGGTCCTTCGCGGCCAGCTTGGCGGCGGCCTCGGCTCGCGCCTGCTTGAAGTTGAGCTCGGAGTTGAGCGTGTAGCCCTCGTCGCGCTCGTTTGCTCTGTTGATGTCGCCGATGTCCTTCGCCGCCAGCTTGGCCGCTGCCTCCGCTCTGTCTTCCTTCAGTTGCTGTCTCGACGCCATTGGTGATTGTCCTGTGTATGTTGTTTCAACCAATTGTAACTTGTGTTGTATGCATGGTCAATTAGACGTGAACAGAAACATATATATAATAAGGTTTTGAAGCGGAAAAGGTTGAAAGAGGGAGATGACACGTGGAGGTGAAGTGACACGTGGAAGGATATTTGTGTGGCACGTTGACGGTGAGGCTCTTGGGTGGTGACATCTATCCGGAAAGAGAAAGCGAAGCAAATCTGTTGTTCACACGATCAGATGGTCCGCGTGTCTCACCACGTGCCGTGTTTAGGGTAAGCGCCTCTCTTAAATTTAATACACCACCTTGCCTATTATGCTACCTATTTTTTTGCCTCCTCTGTTTATATTAGAATTCGACTTTTCTATAACTTATTTTAAAATGTGTATTTTTTATAAAAATAAAAATAAAAATAAAAAATAGTGCAAAAGTTTTTTTTCTTCTTTTTCTATCTGTAACTAGAAGATATATAGAGACTTGATGATAACGATAAACTAAAAAAGGGTGCATGACTAAGAAATGTTATTTGATTAAATTAAAACCCAAATCTTTAGAGTTTTTTTTGGTATCTATCATCATTAAAAGGAAGGAATTGACTATGATGAAGTTTTTGCTCCTGTCACGAGAATGGAGTCAATCTGACTTCTGATCTCGTTAGCTGCTCAGAGACAATGGCAAATTCTACAGATGGATGTGAAGTCAGCCTTTCTAAATGGAGTGCTGAAGGAGGAGGTGTATGTCGAGCAACCACTCAGGTACATGAAGAGAGGAGATGGAAAAAAGGTGTTGAGATTGAGAAAAGCCCTCTACGGGCTAAAGCAAGCTCCTCGTGCCTGGAATGAAAGAATTGATGGGTATTTCAAGAAAAACGGGTATGAACAATGTCCGTACGAGCATGCCTTGTACATAAAGAAATCAGAAAAGGATATGATGGTAGTTGCTCTCTATGTCGACGACCTCATATTCACTGGAAGCAATGCAAAATTGATTAAGGAGTTTAAGGAGATAATGAAGAAAGAGTTCGAGATGACAGACTTAGGCTTGATGAAATATTTTCTTGGCCTAGAAGTGAAGCAATCGGATGAAGGGATTTTTATATCCCAAGAAAGGTATGCGCT